AAAATGTATCAGTGACTGTGAGTTTTGCAAATGTGTCATAAGAATATTTTATTAGTGTTAATGTTAAAACTCCACCAAGAATATTTAAAAACACTGAACCATGTGTTCATCTTTAATGTCTGTACTCCTGAGATTTACAGAGGAACAAATCCTGAGAGTGAGTTTAGTATCAGCTCTGACTGATTCAACACAGATTCTTCATTGCTCTGACAAACAGGTGACACTGAGTGGAGCGGTCGACCGTTCCAAGATGGCGGCCCTACGGCTCGTCAGCGCCAATAGACGATAGCGGTCAATGCTGGATCTAGTGTTTATATATATCTATGTCTATAGGGCTCTGGTTTGAATATTACGCCACAACATCTGAGAGTCTGATCACAAAAAGCTGTTAAAATGTTTAATTTGTGCACTTCTTAACTTGAATAATCCCCCTGGCTTTTGGTCATTGGTTCGAATATATCGATAACAGCCTTTGCCTTCTGTTACTTTTGATAAAGGTTTTAAAAAAAAACAGGAAATGCTGCTTGTGAGCATGCGCATTGAACGTGTAAAAAGGTCCATTTCAACGTTAGTTGTTAAACGATACACATTTTCCGAATGGCTCTATCCTAAAAGAACTGTTCATGTTCCTCTGCTGAATCATGTTTGTCCAACAGAAGTTGTTGGAGTCACGACATCTACTTTATGCGACAAATATTTTAAGAACTTTATTTTGAAAGGGATGAACTCAGGAAGTAGCCACAGTTTTTTGCGCATGCGTAAAAGAAGTGTGTCAGTGTACTGGGAACAAAAACAAACGTGCGGGATTCATCGTTCGCTTGTTCGAGTCGAAAGGTAAGAATTTAATGTGTGTCGGCTGAACACACTCTGACTTTATTTATTAACAAACTCTGACTTTATTTATTAACAAACTCTGACTTTATTTATTAACACACTCTGACTTTATTTATTAACAAACACTCTGACTTTATTTATTAACAAACACTGACTTTATTTATTAACAAACACTAACTTTATTTATTAACAAACACTCTGACTTTATTTATTAACAAACACTCTGACTTTATTTATTAACA